ATGGGCAAAGGTGCCTGAGTGGTAGTGGTTGTTGTGGTCGTCTTAACATCTGCATGCTCATCGTAGTATTCATCCTCAGAGGAGAACTCAAACGGTTTGGGTTTGTCCCGACTGGGCAGCTGTTGGACTTGAGCCTGTGGAATGGGTTCGTGCTGCTCAACTCGGTAGAACTGATCAGCTGGAGGCTGCTCATCCGCCGACTTGGTGGCCTCCTCCTCGATATAGTCGGATTCAGTGTGCTCCTGATCGCGCTGCGGGAATCTCTCTGCCTTGGCCTGGCGTACATATTCCGGAATCATGGTGGTGGCCACTTTTGCTGTGGTGCTGGCCACCATCTCATCCTCAGGCGCATCTTCGTAATAATAATCCCGTGCGGGCTTGTCCACCTTTGGCTCACGTTTCTGGGTTGAAGCATCGTCCATCATTTCGACGGTTGAGTGCTCTCCGGAATACGGAGCCATGGTGTTCATCCTGCTCTCCATGGGCCTCATGGTGCTCATTTCCATCTCCATGACTTGGGAACTTTCAGTTTGATCCTCCTCCAAGCTATTGCGATGCTGCTCCATCTCTTTTTCAACCTCGGCGTCCAGTTGAGCAGGATCGTAGATATCATCGTTGCCTCCAAGGCTAGAGCCAATCATTTCGCCGCCATAGTCCTCATCCTCTCCAGAAACTACGGGGTTAAGAAGCAACGCCGCCAGAAGAACTCCCAGCCAGAGTTGCGTTCTCAAAATCATTTCGATTGATATATGATCTTAGCTATCCTCAGTTGTCAGCATAAAAGCCTGCAAAAAACGATGGAGCAAAGAAATATGTCAAAATACGATTTTGGAAAGCTTTTCGGAGTTCAATGATTGATTGATTAATTGACTGACTTTTTTCGCTTACTTAATTGACGCAATTATTCATTATTATTTCGAGTTTACTTTTGTTGAGCCGTTATTTTTAGTTTTTCTATAGATTTTGTCTAGTTTTTGGACTGTTGGTCTTCTTTCAACACTTTCGCAATGTGAAAAGTGAAATGTTATGACTGCTCATTGTGATAATCATCTGGTTCGTTGTTAAAATCATTTTAAATAATTATGACTGACAAATCGAACATTTGTAGCAAATTGGCGGTGCTAAGTTTTCAGGAAATTTCCATTTAACTACGAAATTCTGGGGAATTTGTTGTTTAAAATTAGTTTTACAACATAAAAGTGTTTGAATATGGATTGAAATGGGAGAAACGATAGACAAAGGGGTTTTGTATAAACTGAAATGCTGCCATTTTCAGAGATAGAACTATCAGGAAATACAAATACAAATTCTATAATTATACTAGCTCTGATTTTAATTTAATCTGCTGCTAACCTTGTTCAAACATGATCTTAGACTAGTTGGCATGATTGTAATTGGTAGTTTAACTTTAATGGCTTCCATCCTAAAGAAATTATATTATATCTGTAAAGGACATTTAACTAACATAGTCACAAAATCAAAAAAAGCTATCTGAATAAACATAAAAAGCTTTTGAGGAGCCGAAAGTACTTTGCCAAAGTCATGTTCATGAGCATGCAATAATGTAAAAATAAGCCTTGAATCACGAACTTATCCAAACTACTTAAGGACTGGTAAAACAGTAGTAAGGGATAAAAAGTTTTGCCAAAGAGCAACTAAAAACCGAAGTAGCTCGTCGGAAATAACCGGGTAGAGTATGAAATACACATATACAAATTTATGGTCAAGGTTTTGTTAAACCTGCTGCAGGTGAGGAAAATAGAAACACAGAAAGCGAAGACGACGTTGACAATAAAACAAATTTGCCATTAAAAAAATCAAACGACTTCTCGTGGTTGTGTAAACTCACACATGTGAATCCATTTGTGAATAAAGAAAAAAATAAATGTTTAAACTTGATTAAAGCCGGAGGAACACGCTAGCTTTGAGGCTTCAATTTGATCAATTTATAATATTTAATTAAGCAAATGCAATTAACACATTGGTTAAGGCAACATGCAAAACGTTTTTATGATATGCTATTTTCCTTTGCACTTTGCACTGTTTGTGTGTTTATACTTTTGGTTGCAACTTTGCAGCCGTTTCTTTTGTGACTTGTTTGAATAACAAATTACCCACAAATCAATTTGAGTGATTGATTTTTTGGCTCTCGCCCCGTGATTTGCAGTGTAAAAACTCAGAAACGAGCAGTTGCCATTAATTAACAATATGCAAAGCCGCAAAAAAAGATTAAAACAAAAATACAAATAAATAAACCAAAATAAAATGATATATACATTCAAGTCGAAATCCAAAAGTATCGCATTGATGCGTAAAATGGAAATAAATTAAGTTAAAATATTCTGCGTTCGTTTTTCTTGTTTGGCAGGCTGCCCGAATCAACTCCAAATCGATTTGTACATTTTCGTGCGTTGCAAGGTCACCAAATCGGGGGTCAGCGGGGGATCATGGATCATGGATCATGCAATTTAAAACCCAGAGCTTAGGCCTCTCTTGGGGTCTCCGCGAGCGCGTTTTCTCTTTTTTCGAAAACTTTGTCATGATAAATTCGTGAAAGACACGTTCGTCTGCCGTCTCCATACTTGGTTTTTATCGTTTTAAATGTTAAACTCCATTGCACAATCCCCATTCATAAGACATTTTGGGCGAATGCTGGGTGGCTTTTATTTATTTCAAATTCTCTGCCTCAGCGTGTCACGTAATTCTTTGATAGATTGCCCTTAGGTTTAGGGGAACTCCTCAGTTCCGAGAAGATGAAAGCTTTTGAGGAAAGAAAGTTGTGTTTCGGGAAATAAAGTTCTACGAAGATCAACTTTGTGATTCTTTATGTACATATTTGTTTCAATTTACATATAGGGAAATGACCTTTGGTTATACCGGGTTGATAAGATGCGATTTAGATACACTTTCAAAGAGTAGCCAAATAATGATTGGTAGTCTGAAAATTGCTTAGCTTCCAATGTTTGAGATTATTAAAACCCAGAAGTGTTTAGAGTGGCCCATACAAACCATCATTTCAATGAGATTCTTCATGATCTATAGGCACTCCATTTTGTGATCAGGGAAAAGTGCTTAGATAAAACTGAAAAGGCGAATCCCGCTGGGGCAGTTCATCAATCAGTCGCCACAGCCGTCAGCAGCTGATTTGTTGCGGCTCATAAAAAACACACAGCGCCAACAAAATCATTCTATAAACAAATTAGAGAGGCGAGCACGTTGTCGGTTTTTATTTATTTACATATTTTTTTTCGTTGTTGTATTTTTGCTTTTGCAATTACGGGGAGTCAGCCGCCGAGATGTGATTAACAGACGCGTAAGCATTTATTTTCGCCATTTTTTTTTATATTTTTATATCACTCGGACGTTGTTCTGCCGTTTTTATGGCTACAACAAATTAATGAAAAATAATTGAGAAAATTATAAATTCAAATTGCGTTCCTATTTCCCCCCTTTCGCTCTGACCAGCCCCTTCGTGTCAGCTGAATCGACTTGAAATGCACTCTAATTGTGGCAGCTTTACTCGACGATCATCAGTGATGAATACTTGTGATTGTGGATCGGGGCATCGGGGGGATCAAACCCTTCAGTGAGCCCACGCGCATTTGTTGTTTATTTTCCTGACATTGAAAAGCCAATTGATTTGTTGATTTTTAGTGCTTTGAAGGGCTCGGTTGGGCCTAGGAATAACAAAACTAATGGAATTCTGTTTGTAGAACTAAACGGCGGCGAAGGCGAAGTGTAAACTGTGATTCGGAAATATTTTTTAGGATTGTTTCTCATTTTTTGATTACTGAATTTCATGTTCTCCCACTCGGTTTGCTATTTATTGCCCTACTTTGCATTTAGGTATTTCCTATGTACTATATTTAAATTTGATTGAAATAAAAATGTTTTCATTAAACCTGCTTTTCATTCACTTGCCTTTTGTAAAACTTCTTGTCGACGTGGTCTGGACTCAATTTAGCTTTCTAGCTTGTTTTTTAATATTTATTATTAAATGTTTTGTGAGTTTTCGAAATTCAAAACAAATAACTTAGGCAACAAACTTGTTTTCTCCTTGCTGTGCGCACGAAAAAATCTCAATGAATTTTAATTACACCTCATGCGGTACACTTTGTTTATGACTTTTGACCACTTCTTTGCATTGTTTATTAACTTGCAGATTATGCAAATCACGACAACAACAAAACTCCACCACACAGATATTCAGAAATTCACTTGCTGCAGTATTTTACGCTCAGCAAATTGCAAGCGACCGAAACAAAAAAAGTACTAAATTAAGAGCGTTCGATTTGCGACCGTGTGTTGGATTAACCCGTTTAAATATATTTCTCATGCGCGACTTGTAGTTGTTGACTGCGATTTTGGCAGCTGACTTTATTTTTCGCTGGCGATCGCGTCAACGTCTCAAATGAAACTGAAAGCAGAAACACAAGCTGCGACCAGCGGAGCAGTTCGTTGCTCATATTCACTCCACTCCACTCCAAACCGATCCCATCCGATCAGATCAGCTCGGCTCGGCTTGGCTTGGCTTGGTTGGCATGGCTCTCTTTATTTGGCCGACGCAGCAGGTATATAGATAGCGGTCTGGGTATAGGTAAACCCGCCACTGTAGCTGCTATTGCTATATGGCCACAGAAGTTGGAATCTAGAAGAGCGTGCCACTGATAAACCGAGGCAACGTGCTGGAGCAGCCGAGCTGATGCCACAATTGGATGTGTTCATGACACGAATGTTTGGTGGCAGCGCCATGGAAATATCTTCGTTCAGATGGCAGTTCTGTTCCCATGGTATCATCAACCTGTTATGCAATCACAGCTGTATCACTCTCAACACTGAACATGCTGATACCGCAGCTGAAATGTCTAGATCCTTTCGTGTCAATATGTCACAAGTAGTGGGATAAATATGTTTCCATTTGCATATATTTAAGATTCTAAAGTAATAGTGTAAATACACACTACAAGAGTTTGGATAATTAATCGGCAAACAAACAGTCATTGTCTTCTAACAGATGTATATAGAAATTGAAAATTAGTTGACAAGCAATCGATTTATGAAACTAAAAGTATTTAGTACTAAAGATATGGTCTTGATTTCTTGTCTAAGCACATTGGTATTTATCCTTCAATGCCAGGATACGTGAAGCTATGTCGTCAGATGGATTTCCAATACCAGTCGTCCGATATTTCTCGAGAAGTCTAAAAAGTTCCCCGCTAGTAGAGCTATCCGGGAATCGCACAACTCGCTCCAAGTCGTCTGTAGCCTTAAGCAGCTTTTTATGGAAATCTGCGAGCACTTTGAAAATCATTTTCGATTGAAAATTGATAAAAGGTCTGCTGAGCGCCAGCTTCTTAGCAGGAGATCCGACTAGAACTGGCTGGCTACCGTCTTCATTGAATCCATAAACAAATTTGATTTTATCTTCCAACCTGCTTGACGAAACTATGGTCTCTCCATGCTCAAGATAGTCCTGCATGGTTTTCTTGTACTCTTCGAATTCGGGATAGAGTTCTAAGGCAGTGATCATTTCCTGCAACATTGCCTTCATCAGTATTACTGTTTCATCCCACCAGTCTTCTTGAATCGCTCGAACGGTTTGGAAAAACTCGCATATGGCTGCTGAGTTCCTTTCCACAGGATCACTCCTGGCAAATGCCTAGGAGTGTAACGAGGATTACGTTATGAAAGTGGGTTTCCTCTTGGCACAACTCACCAGCAGCACCAGGAAAAAAATGATCCGGGGAAATAACATTTCGCAAATCTTTGAAAGTGACTGCATTTCTTTCAATGCGCCCTCCGGGTTTTATAGGAGTTTTCTTATCAGCTTTCTTTTTAATATTTATATTCCTTATCTATTGAATACTAGGCACACATTTTTTTTCATTTTATGTTATAAAAATAAGTTTTGTAATGCTTGTGATTGAAAGAAACTTGCTGGTGTTTTTTTAGTAACTCAGACGCCATATTTGTCGAAAGTTCAAAGGCTGCGGTTTAATAATATATTAAGTTTAGGTTTTACCGTGAAAGTTGGTATTCTTAATAGTAAAGTTCATCAAAGTATAATTCGAAGCAATTATATTATTGCTTAATAGAAGGGTTTGCCTTATTTATTATTTAAAGATGATTATTATAATTTGTAAGAATATCTTTGTTTTAATGGGTCGCTGAAACGATTTAAAATCTTTGCCTAGGAACAAGCTAAGGAAGTACAGTGACCTCGAACCAATCAATCTAAAAACAAATCGAATTACACTTTTTCAAGTTCAGAGTTATAAAATTTTGCAACTTTTTGGCAGAGTTCTTTGCATGTTGACCTTTTTTGCTTGGGAATCATTACGGCAAATAATAACCGCATTGGTGGCATGCAAAGTGAATATGTAATAGTGGTCGAGCTGGTGGTTGTCAAAACTCATCCAAAACAGACCGACGTTGAACTTGGGTAGGAAGTTCGACTACCCGACTGGCCGGCGCATTAAAATGGAGCGTGAAATGAATTTAATATGACAACTCCGACTGGAAGTCGCTGATGGCATCAACAAAATCATAATAAATACAAGCGCGTACGTATATAGTGGGCCAGTGAATACGTCTGCTTGTTCATTTAAATATTGTATGCGGAAACGTTGAGGCTTCCTCTATTTATTCAAAGGGCTTAGCCTGCTTTCTTTACCTGAGCCTACAAATTCCAGAGAAATTAGTTTAGTGTGGGCTTGTCACTTAAGCAGTACCTGTAAGACCCGAAAAACGAAGCTATCCCATTCTTTTGGCTATGAATAATGTGTGCGACACAACCAAGAATGCTCTGTTGTAAAAACACATGTTATTGTTATTCCAGCAGAACCTTAGATTGTTCAAAAAACTATGTAAGCACAACCACGACGTTTAAGCACAATGATTCTGTTGCTGTTTAGCTTGTATGACAAATTGTTGAGCATCTTGAGCTTGACATGACTTATTTTCCATGCGGAATCGTGCCCATCTTGACCTACGTGCCTATCTCGAAAACCTCCCAATACTAAGGTCTTTGGCAGAAACCATTGAACCACTCTGTATTGCGGTTTGAATAGCAACACTTTGTTGAATTATTAAGTACTAATTGTGCGGCTTCAGCGAAGAGACATGGGCATGTGGTCAAAGCTCTTATTTGGTAAGACTTTAGTTTGAAAGCGTTTAGGGTATATCACTACTACATTTGACATATTTAGGAGCTTACAATATTTTTACTTGCTGAAGATCTGTATTAACGTTGCAAGAGTATCAAAGAGTCGATGGCAAGGAGATAACTCCGCACGTTTTGAAAACAAATTTATTGCATCCAGAATTTATGCAGCTCACGCAATTTTCACTTTGCGAATATTACGCTGTTGTCGTGCTTTCGTTAATAATTATGCAATCAATTTTTGTTGATCGCCTTCTTCTGCAGTTGCTCCTGCTTTCGAGCATTGCCTCAATTAACAACTTTCCGGCAACGAACGCAAAAGAAAAACCCTTTCAATAAAACAAATTAAATATTTGGCAATCGGCTTGTGTCGATTTTTTTGATTATCGTTCCATTTGCCGCTTGCTCGGCCTGTGATTTGGTTTGTGCTGTTGTTGTTATGGCTCACATATGGAAGCCGAGGCTGGTTTAATTTTATGATGAATATATAAACACGTACGCATGTCCCAAGAGTGTTAATCAAAAATTACCAACTTGTTTTCGCAGTGGCAGCCAAACGAGCCTCTCGAAGAACGAACTGGTGCAAGGCGGTGTCAGCTTTTTGCTAATAATTAACTAACACAATTGCTGACGTCACGGCGGTATAGACTACAATAATATCCTTAATCCTTTCGGTGTCACTTCGCAGTTTTCACTCGATTCACTGAACGCACTTTTGGAGCACTGGAGCACTTCACGACTGTCGATCGACTAAAACAAACTCCACTAATTACTGACCTTTTTGTACTTGTCGCACTGTTATATTTTGTATGCTTTTGTGGCTCATAAATTGTTTAAATATTGAACAATTGGTTGCAAATGGATATATGTAGCTAAACGTTGAAAAGTAATGGCACACCTCAGGCCGCCCCATCGATAAGATACAGAGTCATAGGAATCCGCAATCGGAATAACCCGGAGGAAGCGAGATTGTGCCAGATGCGTCACGGGTCAGTGGGTGTGGCATGGGTGGCTGACACAATTAGCATACCCCTACTACGAAGGGCTTACTCATGTGTTCGTTGAAAAAACCCCGAAAAATACCTTCGAAAATATGGCTACCTGAGTTTGTTGCCTAAGTCTTTTGTTAGTCCGTCCTGAAAGAATGCACTTTTCGTGAAAGACATGAAAAATATCACAATGTGAATATTTCTGTGTATATTTCTGCTCCGATTTTCCAAAGCTTAAACTCTAAAGATTACCACAGATCAATGGCCGAGCTATATATAAACGGTTCTTTGTCTGCCAGACGTCCAGATAATCTCGGTGTACTTATAGAAATTAGCGATACTGCGAAAGTCACAACGCAAATCTATAAAGCAGCGTGTATGTATCGGAAGAGTTCAGTTCTATAAAATGACTAAGGAAATGCACTTCCATCTCCTAATTGTTTGTCTGGCTGGTACGATATGCAGGAACCATTTCGAAAGTAAATTATTAAACTAAGTTTACCAAGTTGCCAGCGATTAGTTATCCATTGGAGCCGAATGCGAGTGTCTGCGAATTTATCAGAAATATTGCCAGATTTCAAGACGATGAGTATGATCGGTTGGAAAAGAGTAAAAGTTTAGCTAATTTTATTTTGTACACTAAAATCAAATATAAAAAATCACATCGTTCCTGTAAGGAACATATTGCTTCCCTGGAAAACCTAAAAAATCGTGGAAATGACTTACGTGCATCCAGTCCCTGGTCAGAAATAATTAAATATCTTAAGTCTACATAAGAGGAATATCAAGGAGGTCCTTGTGCTGATGAGGAAAACGAGGATATATACGTGTATTCAACAGAAATAAAAAAAATGAAAGACGATATACGCGAATTGAGTCAAACTGTGAAAGATCAAAACGAATATTATAATTTCGTGGCACATATTGATACGAGTGGGGATACGATTATAAATACCTTATCTAATTTCTCTATTCCCACGCTGTACTCTCCCCGGTTGAAGAAAACCCATTTTTGAAAGCTGTGTAAATGAAAACGGGAAAACATTGGTATTTTGTATCACTAACGTTAGGATATAATAGTATTATAACTAAATGCATACTATAGAAAGGAATCCATGGTCGAAAGTAGCCGAGTGAGCGGTTTGGCAGTGGGTGACTGACACCATCAAGAAGTCGAAATTCTTATCGAATTCCTTCGAAAATATGGGAGTCCCCACATCTCAGATGTGGCTACCTGAGTTTGGATTTTCTTCGAACCTCCTGCCACAACACACTTCCACTAAAGGGTAACATAATTTTGTCGAGAGCCTATTAATGCTCAGAATAATATGCAGGTAGTTGATGGGAGATTTCAAAGAATAAATTCCTTCAGGGAATTATTTCAGCTCCTATAAAAGGAGCACAATTTTGTCTTGGGCAATCAGTGTTTTTAAAACCAGCGTAATATGCGTTTCTCTGGAATACTTATATCACTCAATTTATTGGTAAGAATTTGGCAGTAGAAGTAACTTTAGGCTAATTCCATGTGCAATCCTAGAGTCTCTCCAGTGGGTTTCCCGTGGAGCAGGGAAATGACTGCGAACTTTTGGAGCATGTTGATACCAACGATTCGTGGTCAAATATATTTTTTAACGTCAGGAGATCTCTGGAAGACGCCATCAAACGGGCATCAAATATGGAAAAGTGCAGCTCCCAAGTCGAATTTCTTCAGAGCTGTCTAGATCGCGCCAACAGGATTACTTCCCCAAAAGAACAAATGCAGTACGTTATGGAATTCATTGACTACCAAGAAAAGCATTCGGGTATTGAACCGACACGCACAAACACTTATTTTGGAAAAAATATGATTCATTTGTTCAAGAAAACGGTGGATAAACTTACACAGTTGAGCAGAAGACTAATTAAAGTGTCTGAAAAAATTGACGAGAGACTAGGTAAAACCATTGATAAAAGTAAGAAATTGCTTTTTGGCCAAGAAATATGAAAAATTGCTTAATTCAGAGCATTGCTTTTCTACAGTTTATGGAATAAGAATAAATAAATTGCACCATATACCATTTACTAGAAATTTAGAGAAATCTGAGATAATGGGGCAGCTACTTCGGCAGTGGAATTCTATATATTTTTTCAAGCTACAATACATTACATTTTTGAGTAATTTTTTTTGAGCAATCCGTTTTGGAAAATAAGATCGATTATTTATTATTCCTCTGTCGGCTTTCCAATAAACTGGATCGCCAAAATCGCTTAAATAGAGGTAGAAAACCTCTGGGAAGAGCATTGGAAGTCGTGCCCGGTTTATTTATACCATTTAGCCGCTGGCAGACGCAGACTGGCCGACGTCTCGAGGAGCTTCTTCAGCATCATTTCCAAAAAGCACGCATTTTATTGAGATTTATTTTGATTTCATTTCGGTCTCTTTTCTTCGTGTTTTATTTTTTGGCCCGGGGGTTCAATGCCAAACATTTTTGCCGTCCTTTGTTTTCTTAGTTGTTTTTCGGATCGCGTTTTTGGCATGCGACCTGCACGAGCCTGTGGCCAGCGTTTAAATTCCCAAATTGATGGCAATCTTTTTTGGGGCAGCTTTTTCCTAGTGGCATTGTTGTGGCTCGAATACACATTATGCTCGGGTATCCTGCAAATGATTTCATCGTGCTTGACGTCCTCATGTGGGCCTTAATTGTTTTATTTGAGTGCCATTATGTGCAGGCACTTGGGACAGAAAGACGGAGCTGAAGATCTCTCAGATGCTGCTTCTTTTGAGTGCTCGAAAGTGACCGAAATCTGGTTATGATGTCATGCTTATAAGTAAGGTATAAAATTCTTCCACATTTTGATGTGTGCGTGCGTGTTTATTTTTAGTGTAGGGTCGCAATTTGAATGAATTATGCTGTTCTACTTTTTTCCACCATTGCGGTTAGACGAGCCGTCTTTAGAGCGTCTTTATTTATTTTAACACATTTGTCGTAATGCGTCATTGTCATTGCGAGCATTTGTAAATATTAAAACAAAAACCACCTTAGGCTCAACTGGAAACTGGAAATTTTTCGTCGTTATTTATATTTTCCGAGCCCCACCTCGGACAGTTGCTATATCTAATCTTTGCCTAGCCGTTACAAATGACGACCCTTAAAGTGACAAAGCAAAGTCGACAATGTCAAGTGCCTTTAAGTGGCGAAAATATACGGCAAAAAATAGTTTTGCGCGTGATTTAAGCTCTTTTACTTGACATTCATTGGAAAATGGCAAAATAAATCATGTTTTTCCAACCAGTTCTTGAAGCCACAAGTACACATTAATCAATCAATACGTTAAATAATTCAATAATCACTTGTTACCAATCAAATTATAGTTCGGAAATTTATATTTCAACTTTCCAAGCTAATAAATGTATATTTTGTGTTAATTTAAAGATTACAAAAAATGCAAAATGGAAAGAATAATTTAATCGAGTACAATGTTTAACCGTACAGAACAAGGTAGTTAATTAATGTAACATTTCAGGTCGCACTACAATTATTTCTAATAAATGTTATCATTAAACTCATACCATATTTCCGTCGAAATTATAGGATCTCTTATCAAATATCGATTACTTGCATTCTATCATTACGATATTAGCATATTTATGGGCAGCAATTCACTGCCTGAATAACTAATGCATGAAAGTAATTAATAGACTGGATTGCACACTGAATACTGTCGAAACCAACACTGATATGCAAATGAAACCTGACCATTACGGACGCATCTGTACGTGGACTTCAGACCAGGTAGACTAGCTTGGAAGCAAGCCCGTTTGATCCAAAGATCGCATTTAGAATCCCATAATTTGCCATATTCATAATTCTAAATCATTGGCCTGGCTTTGGAATCTGGTTATGCAGCTGCGACAAGAATTCCAAACTCGCTTTTGAGCATGTGAACAATGCAGTTCTTAAAATAGTCTCTACTCGAGGTGTGAAAACCTTTGGCCAGCAAATACGCCTCGGATCCAATCACGTTTCAAGATCGAGGTGAATTCTTTGACGTATTCGCTGGCCAAATGACACGTTTGCCATGTTTTGCTGCCATGTGCTTTCATTTCACATTTCACATTCATCGGGAACTTCGCGGCGCTTCTACAAATGCCATGGCATTTATATTGCGGCTAATGTCAAGACTTGGCTTTTTATGACACCCCCAATGCAGTAGAGAAACCCGATTCCGAATAGGAGTGTGGATTAAGCGCGCTAAAACGTTAACTGACCTGTTTACTTGCCAGTTCCCCATGGCTGTAGCTGTTTATTATGGGTTAATCAAAATGTTGAACCATCAAGACTATATGTAGCCGAATTGAAGCCGGAAACCATTTGAGAGCAATCAGTCGGTGCAGTAACAATTATAAACCATGGCTTACCTTCCCCAGTAGTTTCTTAAATAGCACTGGTTTTTCAAACTAATTGTGATTTAATGTAAGGACATTTGTGTTAAATTACCTTTCAAAACATCTTTTGTACCATCCCCACATAATTAGTAAATCACTTTGTTGGTAATACTGCTGCTGCATGTTTGATTGCGGCTCTTGCTTGCTTAGTTCAACCCACATCGCCAAGTCCAGTTCCACCTTCGATTCCAAGTGCGAATCCGTAAACTCGTTTATGGCGGTTCCGTTTTGAATTGTGCCGATATTAATTAGCATTCAGTACACCCATAACTTCTTGACGAGTTTACGTTTCTTATTTTTGAGTGCAGAACGAGAGGGAGTGTGGGGAATTGGTCAGCTCCTAATAATACATTCCATAGGAATGGAGTCCATTGAACATTAAAATATAGAGGCTTCTTCTGACCAATGGGTTTTTGTCTTTATTTCAGAACCCAAATCATTGGTCACCGTTGGTCAGCCATCGGGCATTGATGACAGCGAAGCCCTCGACGAGATAAACTTGAATACCAGCAGCGAGGATTCCATTGGCGCAGTTGGATCGAGTCCATATCAAGGCGCAGGCGATCGAAACGCCAATCCTCTATTGGAACCACCACCGGAAGCTGGAAACGATTCGTTGCTGAGTCAAGCGGCCTCCTCCTTTACTGCCCTGCCTGCGGTGGCCTCCAATGTGTTTTCCACCTTCTCGAAGCGGATCTACGCCGGCAGCAGGGAGTCCTCGGAGGAGCCCAAGCTAGACATACAGCCCCCTTACATTCAGCAGGCCAGCTACCATCAGCCAGTGCCCGCTCCTTTTTATGCAGCTCCGCCAGCGGGCGCCAATGAAGTGGTCGCCCCCGAACCACCCAAGTTCTACGCACCCACTGAGGTGCCGTCCCCGAACGTAGGAGTTCCTGCACCACCGCCTGCATCGGGAAATCCAAATACTTACCGATTCACCGCCAGGAAAAAGCTATACGCTCCTATTCCTGGATTTTCAGAGCAATCCGGACAACCTGCACAGGCTCCCCAAGCGGCGCCAGCATTCCAGACGCCACCATATCCACCACAGCCAGCATACGCAGCAAACCCTGCTCCATTTGACATATCAGCACAGCCAGCTCCAATTCCCACAGAGGAACGCAAATCCGGTGGAGGACTCTTCTCCTTGACCAGTCTTGTACCCACAGGAGTCCTTCAGAATATCACAGGCCTTGTTCAATCAGCCACTGGGCGAAGCAGTGAACCAGGACACGCTAATGCCCAGCAAGCAGGAGGTTACTTAGACATTACTACAGCATCGGCACCAGCTCCACAGACGAACTTATTTGGTGGACAAAATTCAACGCTTCCGCCAGGAGGTAATTATTTCGTACCTGGAGCACCTACATCTTTACCCACAGCGGAGGTAGTAGTTCCTCCTTCCGTAGGAAACTTCTTCGCGCCAACGATACCCTTGCCTGGATCACAAGTAGCTGCTACCCCAGCTGTAGGAGCCTTCTTCACGTCTACTGTCCCAAGTGTTCCGCCTTCAGTTTTTACTCCAGGATCTGTTCCGCCTGTTGCCCCGCAGTCAACAACTGTAAACCAATCTGCATTGCCACCGAACAATCCTCCGGCCGCATCTGCAGTAGGAGAACTCGCTTTTCCTGCACAAACGACAATCCCCCAAGGAATTCCATCCGCAGTTCCATTTGTTGACACACAAGCTGTTCCAACAATACCTTTAACAGTTCCACCAGGCAATCCTCCCCCAACATCGGTACTAGGAGGATTCTTTACCACAGGTGAAGTTCCACCTGCTGTTGGACCATTTGCAACACAAGAGACAGCAGCAACGCAATCTGTAGGATTCTTAAATCCAGAAGAAGTTCGTCCCTTAGCAGAAGCAGTTCCAACCATACCGATTACATCGTCAGGTCCACCTACAGGGATTTTTCAACCAGCACCCGCTCAGCCTGGTGTCCCAACAGCTTCAAATCCGATTCCCTTGCCAGGACCAGCTGCACCACCGCCAGCCGCTGGACAAGCTTCATATCGCCTTCAGAAGGGAACTCGTCTCTACAAGAGTCCATTGACCCCTCAGGAAACCGCAGCATCTTTGGGATTCGCCGCTCCTCCGGCCATATCTGGAACTCCAGCAATTTTTAATCCGTTCGGAGCACCTGCACCAGGATTCAACTCAGTAGCCCATCTACAGGCTCAAACTGGCCAAGGAGTTCCACTCTTTACGCCGCCAGTGTATAATTCACCAGGACAAGTGACAGCTCCAAGTGCAACTGTTGCTGTTCCACAAGCAGCTCCTATTGACCCTCCACCGGCGACAGCAAGTGCAAGTGCTGCTCCTCCGCTATCTGCATCTATAACCAATCCCCCTCCAACTGCGGGCTTTGCAAGTGTACCCCTCTTCGCTGCACCAACAATATCCTCCACGGCTATTCCTTTCTTCAATCCGCAACAAACAGTTGCGGAAGTAACAACTGGTTTGAGCCAACAGAAAACCGCCGCTGCAACATCGACCATATTGGAAGCTCTGGTGCAAGGACCTGCATTAAATCAAGATAATTCCTTGTTTGCTCCAGCAGTCGCCGCAAGTCAATTCTTTGACGCCCCATCTCCGTCAGAAACCCAAACGGAGAACCAAGTACCAAGTGTTTCCTCAGAAAGGGGAAATCTAGCGACCGAGACAGAATCAGTGAAAGCGGAAGCAAATATTATTACTCCACAACTTCAGCAGGAGTTAATAACACCAATAGAGGATTCCAAGCGATCCGAGATTCAAGACGAACTTTCATCTGCACCACCACAAGAAACTACTCAAAGCGCGAACTTATCAACCGGACTCGGAGAAGATACACACACTGGTCCTCCTGTAATTGAACCCGTTCTAGATCAAACCCCAGCAGCTAGCCGGAAATCGAGTGTTCCCCTCTTTCCGCCCGCAAGTAAGGTAGATCAAGAAGATATAGTCTATCCAGAGCCATCTGCCCCGGAGCAGCAGGAGATTCCATTATTCGTGCCAGTACCATCTTTGTCGGGACAAAGTCAGGGCGTACCACTATATCCACCGCCACCTGGTTCCACTAGCGAACACGCGATTTTTACTGCGCCACCAGTGGCTTTAAGTGCTCCACTCTTTGTTCCTGTCCCTGGTTCTGCTTCTGTGTCATCGTTCTTCTCCCCCGCTCAAGTGGATTCTACTTCTTCGTTATTTGCTCCGCCGCCACCATCTTCAAATTCAACAATACTTACACCGGCTCCGCCAACGACTGCTACGTTGTTTGCTTCCATACCAACAACCACAGCATCTACACCAGATCTGGTTCCTGGGTCATCGTCTGAGCTGGTTGATGCACCTCCTGGTTTCCAGGGATCACCAGAGGTCACCGCAAATAAGCTGTTCCAGGGCAACTCCGAAACCCAAACGGTTTTTAGTCCATTTGCACAAACTAAAGCTACACCTCTGGTTCAGGAAACGAAACCGGAATTGGTACCACCTCCGATTGGATTCTTTGCGCCGAATAACGAAACCGAAGTTCTTGGACAGCCACCACTTGCTCCCTCGCCCCTGCAGAGCTTCTTCAGCACAGCAACAGAAACAGCTACATCCGCCGACTTCAATTTCCTCGCAAGTCCAGCACCTGGCAGCGTATTTCCTGATTTGCCAGTGCAGCAGGGTATTGCACCGCCACCATTGGCACTAGAGCCACCGCCAGAGGCTAGTGTTTCCAATATAGCCACAGCTGCTCTAGGGTTTGATTTGTTAAGCCAAACCCAGCAAGCACCAAGTTTCGTCGATAATTCAATCCAAAATTTAAGTGTCAACTCTTTTGACGGCTATTTTGGCGGTCCTACTGCCATTGCGCCACCAACAGTCGCACCCGAGGCAGCTGCAGCACCTGTTGCTCCAGTTACAAACTGCGACCCCGTCAATTTCTTCGATCAAGTTCCCCAGACCCAGTCGCAAATCCAGCAAGCTAACGAGGATCAGCGCATCCAAAACTTCTTCAACAATCCGCCACTGCAGGATCAACCCGCTGCACCAGGTGAACTCAAGTACGACATCGTCCACAGCGGAGTGGCTGTAAAGCAGCTGCAAGCGCGCTCACAGACGCCCGTCTCAAATCTTGTCGAGCCGCCTTCGTCCGCCTGTTCAGAGTTCTCGACCCTTGCACCAGCACCAACACCAGCCGATCGCCAATCGGGCGACGATCTATTCCAGCAGCATCTGGGCGAGTTGCCCGAGGAGATCCTCAGAGAGCTCAGAATGGCAAGTGCCAGCAGCGATAAGGCTCAGGTGGCGACGCCTGCCACGGCTATAGTATGTTAAAAAATACCTGAGAACTATTTACACGAATTAACAACTTTTTGTTTAGGCTTACTCACCAGTGGTGGTCCATTGGTTCTACAAGCGCAGCGTGGACACAAAGTTCATCTGGACACCATTCAGCCACTACGATTCGGCTTTGTTGGAAACCAGCCTAAGTCTTGGTAAGCACATTCTTTTAGTAATCTGAGCAAACTTCAAGTAAAGTCATCGCAATTCCAGACGATTCCACATTGATTATTCCCGTTGAGGGTGGCCGCTACGATGTAAACATCAAGGAACGCACCAAGATTCCAGTTTACTGGGAGGGCAAGGCCATCGAAGTGCGACGCTGCTCCTGGTTTTACAAGGGAGTAGACTCCAAGTATGTTCCCTACACGGAGGATACGGCTGCACTACTCGAAGCGGAATACAAGCGATCTGCCGAGACTGGCGAATGGCATCAGAAGATCATGCTGGCCAATGGCGAACAGGTGGTCTTTCACGGACCTACAGTCATCGTTCACTTCCTGCCGCAACAGAATGCAGACACTTGGGGAGCCAGTACACAGGGTTCCATGCGCCCAAGAGTTGTCAAGAGGGACCTGGATGACTTTACCATCGAACAGGGCGAATCGCAGAGAGTCGATCACCTGCTTTTCATGGTCCATGGCATTGGTTCAGCATGCGATTTAAAAATGCGCTCCGTGGAGGAAGTGGGTGAGTTATATACTTGAGTCTCTAAGTTTTCTGGCAAATGACCATTTGTTTTCATTTATAGTGGATGACTTCCGTGTTATTGCCCAGCAACTAGTTCAATCGCACTACAAAAATTCAACAGATATGGGCCTGGTGGGTCGCGTTGAAGTGTTGCCCATCTCGTGGCACGGTCACCTGCACTCTGAAGAGTTGGGCATCGACGAAAAGCTCAAGTCCATCACTTTGGAGTCCATTCCTCGCCTGCGAAACTTCACCAATGACACGCTGCTCGACGTGCTGTTCTACACCAGTCCGAAATACTGCCAAAAGATCATGAACACGGTGGCAGATGCGCTTAACGATGTCTACCTGAAGTACCGAATGCGACACCCTGAATTTAATGGGGGAGTATCGTTGGCAGGACACAGTCTCGGCTCCCTAATCCTATTCGATTTGCTGTGCCATCAGGAACCGCTCAAGGAAAGCGAGGAGGAGAATAAAGTGAGTAAAACTTTAGCGGTCAGTAAAACAACTTATTTTCAACGTATTTCATCTATTAAGGAGAATCCCGACCAAGTTCCCCAAAAGCAAACGAGTCAAAAGGTTCAGCTTCCCACCAGCGATCTTTTGCCAAAACAAGTCAGCTATGCGATGGGTCCGGAGGGAACGGGGCAGCCTGTGATTACATACACACAGCTCATATTCCACCCCAAGAAATTCTTTGCTTTGGGCTCACCCATAGGAATGTTTGTAACCATCAGGGGGATCGATAAGCTTGGCCTCGACTTCCACCTGCCCACGTGTCCGGGTTTCTACAACATATTCCATCCCTTCGATCCCGTAGCCTATCGGATCGAGGCCCTTGTCAATCCGGACATGAACGGCATTCGACCGGTGTTGATTCCGCACCACAAGGGACGAAAACGGATGCACCTGGAGCTGAAGGAGACGATGACACGTGTGGGTGCGGATATCAAGCAGCGGTTTATGGACACCTTCAAGACCACCCTAGACAGCGTAAACTTTTTGACCACAGTGACGAAGGTTAAAAAAGAAGCCGAGGAGTCGCTGGAGAAAGAGACGAGCCAGACATCATCGCAAGCTTTTCAAAAGCAAAACGAAGATCAGGACGAGAGTTCAGTTGCCAGCTCGTCTTACAAACTACGAAATCGCACCGATTCCAATTCGACGACGGCTTCTGACCCCGAGTTTATAGAACTTGATTTCCCACTAGGTAAGTTGAACGACTCAAAGCGTGTGGACTACGTGCTTCAGGAAGCGCCCCTAGAATTCATCAACGAATATATTTTCGCCTTGAGCAGCCATGTGTGCTACTGGTAAGTAATCATCTTAATTTAGTCAGTAAATATAGATGTATTTAACAATTACGGATTTTCTAACGCAGGGGCTCCGAAGATACAATCCTTTTCGTGATGAAGGAGATTTACGCCAGTCTGGGAATCAGCACAGACAGCCAGGTGCCGCAGTCGTCAATGACCATCGAGCGACCCGTCTCGCATGAGAGCAGTGTTAGCCACTCGCTGTTGCCTATGTGAGTCCACAAAACCACACGGGGCTCTATTGGATCCACCGATCCCACGTACCGTACACACGATAACTATATATAAATTTAGTACCAATTTATTTAGATATGTTATTTGATAGCCGAATCATACAAAGAATTTTCCATATGTGCAACTCTAACATGGTTAAAGGTATTATCAAAATAAGAAGTCTTTATCGTTTGAGTGACTAATCCGTAGCAAGTTCTCGAGCTTTACAAAATTACCTATGTATTCATCGGATTGGCACCGAAGAGACCTATTTGTTATTTTTGTAATATCGCCTGTGTAATTAACTTTGTAACATTTATGTTAAACAAAGTGTATGTCTAACAAATTTTAAAATAAATAACTACCATTGTTTTCAAGTTTGGCGGGTTTTCATATATCGAATTACTGTTTCAGCCTATCGAATAGTCGATAACTGCTCTTTTGCGGTATTTTTGTCGCGAAAATACCGACGTTTAGAAAGAAACAAAATGGAACATTGAAAAATTCAACAAATTTGATTTTTTAAAAATCACCGCAATTTCTTCAAATACTTCGTAATATTTTTATCTTGAGTAAGTGCCCAAGTGTTTGGTAACTATTTCGAACTTTTGAATTACTAATAGATTGTTAATGAAAGTGAATTAACCACAAAACTATCAGACTTCTAATAAAGCTATTGTTTCTTACCACAAAATTTTAATTGATGAAAGCTACAAATCCCCCATAAGGAGCTGTTTAAAATAAAAAGGCAATTTATGATTCTCTCGATATACATTAATGTATTTAGTGTTAATATATAACCACAGTTATCGCTCAGTAATTATCATTTAAATAATGGCATTCAGAATGCTAGAATTAAATTACAGATGTTTTAAAAGTACTCGAATCATTGTTGGATCGCATGCATATAGGCAGATGCAGATAGCGACAACAAAGTTTGTGATATTTCTAGGACTTAGAGACTAGGCTAATTGTATAATCCTATATAGCTAGCTGCCTTTGCTAATCATTCTCTACTCCTACCGTTTTACATATATGTTTGCCCTTTTTCTCGAAAGACCACACTGTGTTCTTCATACTGGAAAACTACACTCTAAACTTAAAATACTATTTACACTTAGTGGTCTGATCCAGCAGCTTTTTCCACAAATCGAATTGTTCGTTCGACTTGATCATGTGCACGCTGATTGCGTTGCGGATGTTGCACGGGTTGAATGAAATGCGTCGGTTGACGAACTCGTTCGCCTGCACCCGCTTAACATTAAGGCTCTTGGCGACTATGCCCGTGGTGAACACGTCCTCTAGCTTCAGATAAACGGTCTTCAGAGATCGCACGTAGAGTTCGTGCACAATGTCTCCGGTGAGAACGTAGGCGGGTCCAGTGGTGAAGGACGGGAACACTCCCGCCGCGAACTGATCGACGGACACATAGTATTTGGACTTCTTATTCCGAATCGGTTTCCACTTTTTGGCCAGGCGACCGTATATGGTTCGCTTGTCCTTGTGCTTGTCCAGGAAGGTCAGCAGTTTGGGCACATTGATGAACATGTCGTCGTCCGTCTTGAGAATGTACTTTGCCTTCGAGCAATGCACATCTGCCCACTCCAGCGTCGATATCGTTTTGAGGGTGAGGTTGTTGTACGAGTCTATGAAATTTCCCCGTATCAGATCCCCATAGATGAAGTTCTCCTGGGTAAGAGCTTTGTTTATGGTTTCATTGGTGCCACGTCCTAAGACAAATGCCATGCCAACGTCCCTTCTCGTTCCGTAATGCATCCATGTCTGCCGTATGGACATGCGGGCTGCATCATGAGACATCGCTGAGCTAATGAGAACCAGGAGCTTAATAAACTCTCCGCCTTTTGGACATATGCGGTCCGCATCGATCTCCTCATCCAGGTGGCCTGGCTCGTAGAGAGTCTCGGTGGCCACTCCCTTCGAGGGATCCACAGGAGCACTTGGCACCATGCTCTTGCCTTTTGTCAGTTTCACAGGTGGCGATGGTGGTTTTGCGGATTTAGGCTGCGGAACTGCCGCCTCTTTCTTGGCTTCCTTAATTTCCTGTATCACCTTGGATTCCGGTTCCTGCTTTTCGGACTCAACGCCCGAGACTTCCAGTTTGCCGTCCACTGAGTTGAGTTGAGCCATATCCGATGGATTGCCTTTATTTAGAAGTAGAAACCACACCATTAATTGAAATACAAATACATTGAAAACTCAAGCTTATTCTAGTCCGTCCCATACACATCTGTTCGACAGTAATTCAATAGTATGAAACAATACGTGATGTTTACAGCGGTTTCATAACGAAATACGAAACCTGGCCAAATAAGTGGACTGTACAATTTGCTATCCATTGCCGTCGAGTTATACAAATAGGTGCGGCGTCAGCGTGTCTTTGTCTGAGCAAATGTTTGTCTTCGGAGGGGTTATATATCAATAAAACAAAATAGCTCAAGGAAATTGTTATGCAAGTTAAATAAGGTAAACAAAAAGAGGATCAACTCGAAGGAGATACAAAACTAAACTGTTCATCGATCTGGTTTCGAATTTGTGACCTGGATCTATACATAGGTCTCAATAAGTATTGGTGTAATACTAACCTGTGCTACTGTTCGAGGTGATGTTTTTTAGTATCCTATCGGCGTTCTCAATAAACTTTTGCAAATTGGAAGTGGGTATAAGGAGGTCCGCATCGGAGAGACCTGGCTGCACCTGCGACTGGGGGACCTGTTGTTGTGGTGACTGGTTGGGAATCGATGGTTTAACAACCAACGTGTCTGCAGAACTGTTGTTGTTGGCGCTACTGTTGATGTTGCCTGTGGAATAAACAATATTAGCTCAATTAGCGCTGCAGCGTTAGTGCACCCACTTACCGGTTATGGCATCAACACCCTGGCCATACTGCTGCTCCTCCAGCAGTTCATCAGCCATGACATTGGGCGTCTGCTCGGGGCCACCCACCTGGGGACTGGCGCCCGCCGAGCCACCGTCGAGCAGAGCATCCTCGTCGATGGTGGGCAACCTGTGCTGCGGATGCTTCTTGTGGATCTCCGCCGGTTGCGGGGGTGCTTGTTGTGAGTGCCTGCTGGATATGCTTTGCTGCTTTGACGAACTTTCACCAGTAGGCGAATTGTACTCCTTGTCCGTGCTATTGACTGACGGCACTTGGTCAATCAGCTGTCGCCCAGGATGACCGCCAATCAGCTGCTGTGGCGGTGATGCCGCTGGGTGCACATGGTTCGCTGTTAGGGTGCTCGTCGTTGAGTAGGATGTGTAGATGAAAATGGTGAGGATCACCACGATTAAAACTAAAAAGAAGCGTAGCATGCGCGTGTTGTGCAGATTGCCCACGGCCGCCATGGTGGCACTTGCTAAATCTCTCAAATCTCAGTCAGTCTAGGTCTCAGTTTCAGTCTGGACTCCGCTTCTCGCCTTCAATTTGTGAGTATTGTGATAAAACGATCCCTGCACGCTTGCAAGTCCGACGACGAATGCGATGCAACTGCAATGAGAACACAACGGAAATAAAGGTAAATAACTGATTCAGCTGATTTGTTAAGTGCTCCCACACCTGGGCACATTAAGATATAGAAGGAGAGAGGGCGAAGGGGGCCGAGATTATTAGTTATGAAAACGTACTTCTGTTCAGCGCAATAATAAAATAATAAAACAGGGCAGTAAAGTTCCTTAAAGGCTATATTATTAAATCGTAAATATTTTCTTATCCAATAAAAAATGGTATTTTAAAGTCGAGCATGGCCAAATACTCGGTTTTACTGCATTTTCTACCATTGGCGAGGAATAATGCAAACATTTGTGTAGAGAGCGAGCGAGTGGAAGATAACGCTTTTGTGTACTTTTCGAATCGTTTACAAAAGAACACTTAAAATTAATTAACGCTTTATTTTAGGATTTTGCACATTTTTTAAAAACTGAATATCTCAAGGGCTATATCCGATTTTATTTCGGAAAACACAAGGCAAGGGCTTTGCTGTTTTGTATGGTAATGAGAGTGACGAACTGGAAAGCAATTGGGAAGTTTCCGTGGGCTAATGAATTGCCAGAAAGAGGAGAACACGCACAGCATCCAGAATCGTCACGACATCGCCCTCGGCTGTGTCTCTGCTTTGCATGCGCTGGAACAAGTCAACAACAGTCTTGACCCTATTCCGCGACTCAAGAGATCCCTAACGGTGGCAGAACAGAATTCCAAGCACTGGACAGACCCTACTCCAGGTGGCAGGGAACGAACCACTTGAATGGTGTTCCATGGCCGGCTGGCCGATAAGATTTTTAATCGTTCAATCCTATCTGGGTATTTCAGGGCGCTCTTGGTATTCCAGTATACCTATAGATTTATTTGCAACAGCTCGATGTAGCAACTTTTTAATTGGCCCCGAACACTGCGTCACTGTGGTGCTACCTTATTTGTTGTCGATAAGCCAGTTCCTGTCAACCTATTAACACAAATCTTATCTAGCGGCGAAGCGCCATATATCTGATACGTAATACTAAATTATTTGATATTTGCTGAGTAAGTAACTAATTACTTAAAACCAAAAATTAAATATATCAACAGATAGAATTTACCGCTTGTTACTGCCAAATATGTTATCGAACTTCATTTTAGTTTTTTTCCTATAAATACTGATGAAAATATTGTTTTAGTACAATATGTTTTCTTGAAAAGTATAATTAAGCGCGGGGTCTTCTTCTCTTGTCCAAAATTGGTTGTATACACGTGTCTGAATATTCAATAACTGTTGGAAAATGCTGTCAAAACATTTTTGCTATAACTTCACTTATCTTGCTGTCTGTTACTTATGATTAAAAATCGTTTTGAGCATTGGAAACAATTAGCTGTTTTTGGAACTATCTTATCTGCTTAGCGGAGGTGAAGGAACACTTTATGTCGCGATTCGGCAAGGTAAACTCTAATCGAATTATTGTTGTACTTGCGTTTTTTAATTCTTTTTTAAAAATGGCAAATACTAAGATGTACTAAAAGAAAATTGGAAAAAGTGCAACACAACTTAAATGCTGCGCCACAAAATGTATTAATTCTTTATTGAGATAATGCTATACTGATAGCCATTCTGACTATCACATTACTGACATTTAATTAAAATAGTTTCATCAAATATTTGGTCTACTATTAAACGGTTATTATTATTAGCGAAATGGGCTGATAAACTTCATCAATGACGTGTGGTTTGGTCAACTGTCTTCCGGAAAGCGGATAGAATAGCCACGAGTAAGGCCACAATGGAATTTTTTGGGGCTAAATCCGACAATGTCGTATCGTGTTTATGGCTTATCGTGAAGCTGAACGGACGGACGTACACATAGTACAGCGAAATTCTACTTCTATTTGGATCCGCAGCGTGACGCGCAGCGCATTGATAAGAGACAACCCTTTGTTTTACCATCAAGAGTGAAAGTGTGACTTATCTTGTGCGATGTGATGAATCACTAACTATGCATAGGTTAATTACACTTTAATCGCTTAAGAATATGTGGATCTTACTTGCAATTTCTGTAATTCTTTCTTATCAGACTTTCATTTCCCTTGCGGAGTATAAACATGATATTAATATTATTATTATTAATTAATATTACTATTCCAGCAAGTAATGCACATTTAAGAAGTTTTTTATCAGCACAAACTATGCTTTCTGTTCATAATTAGATTTTTAAAACATCAATCATCAATCACTAGGCATATAACTGTTCAATTTAGAGAACTTGGACTGTGATTGTTGCACATTTTTTAGCAAGCTGTTTTAGTGCCTTGTAATTGTGTGCGAAATTACCAAAGAGCCGTGAAATTTGACGAGAGCGCGTAATTTGATGAAGTGTAACTCGGATTCAGCAGAAAAAGTCGGAGAGTCCGCGAGACGAGTGGTGAGCGGAAGTGGATCCAAGCTTCCAATCCGGCTAGCGGTCGGTTATATTTTTTCGTGGCCCCACTCCAGCTCTGCTAATAAGTACAATGAACCGCAGATAATCGCCGGTTAGACGGGAAACGGGTTTTCGGGCGCCTCGAAACTATCTTCACTCCAACGGCCCACTATCAATCAGAGTTTCGACCAGGAAGATTCAGCTGGACTCTGAATCGTGCTAATGAAAGTCTTCATAAGAAATGCCAAGGAGGTGCTTCTAGAGTCGTATAAAGTTCGACTAAAACCTGCATTCCTACTAGTTTTAAGATAGCAGCCCAATTTTTTGAGTCATTAAGTTAACCAAAAAGCTTAATCACATGAATGCGAGTCTTGAGTTGCATTGAAAGAATTAGAGGGAAAGCTCACTTGGCATTTAACTTCCTCTCAAATTATTTTATATGCAAATTAAAGTCGGGAAATAAAAATGACTCTTCGAACCCATTTCTTTGTGCTCTCAGCAAGCAAAACTTACTATGAATCGTACACTTTAGATCACTGAGAAAGCGGAAATATCATAGTTGCTAAGAGAGTTTTTGGTACGGACTTCTGGGGAGCGCATCTACAAATATGTAACTCTACCTAATTCTGCGGAACTCCGAGAAATTACCGATAATTTGGATTTCTTAGATTTCTTAGAAATCGAGCATTATTCGAGTCTAAGCCAGTGATACGAGGAAGATCACATCAACGTGGAGGTTGGATGGCGTTCATGAAACCTCCACTTGACTTGGGCCCACTGGTGGTGCAATGTCCGGCCGTGGAGTTTGGAAATGTGCGCTCATCGGTTGCTTAAGCAGACGTAAATGTGTGTTAATAAAATAACAAAAAAAAAAAACTAAACAAAAACCCTAGGCAACGCATAGTCATGGTTGCGTCGCCGAGGCTTAAAGCCCCTCCGAAATCCACGAATCTTCGAGCAGCCAGAGTCACTCATTATAAACATACCTCCCAGTGCGGTTTAGCTGCGTCTCTCTTCCTCGTTCGCTGGAATCTGAGATGGTGCTATTGTGGGACCAGGGTCAAGCATAATTACTTGTTTGCTTATTTTTAGTGCTTATTTAACGTTAATAAATATGCCTTTTGTTGACAATTAACGATGATGAATTGCTATCGTTGCTGTTGTAACTTGTGTTATCCTAGTGTGCTGTTGTTGTTGTTGGACTCCAGGCGCCAGCACGGAAATCGAGTGCCTTGGGGAATTTTCTTTCTGTTTTTAGCTTTGCGCGTATTTCGACATTAATCGATTTTAATAACGGCAACCCGTTTCATTAGTCATGCGGGGCATGTTTTATAAATAAATAAGCATTAACACCTTGGCAAACGAAGCGATTTGTTGTTGCTGCGAAGCAGAGATTTTGATTTTATTTCGCGTTGCCCTCGATTTTTTTTGGGAGGTTCTCGGATGCAGTTTGCAGATGAAACGCGGCTTTATGACACTTTTAGGGCTTTGCACAATTTGCTGCGTTACAGCGGCCGCAGATATTCCAATTTTTTCCTCCTTTTTTGTGGGAACACCATTACTCCCACTTCCAAAAACCAAACCGATTTTGTTCGCGATTAGCTCAACATTAGTGATGATTTTCTTTCGATAAGTCGATAACTATGTTGACATGCATATGTTATGGTCACTTTATGACGGTTAACAGCACTGTAATCCAACAGCTGTTTGATTTGTAGCAATGTAAAAGCGCCTTTCTTGATAAGACCAAAGTTCATTAAAACCACGAATAAATTGGACCTTAATATTATCTTCCTTAAGTGTTTCATCTTCCTCCTTAGTTTATGCAAGTATATAATCATTACGGCAACCTTTATTCAGCAGAGTAATCGGAATACGTAAACTACTATTCCCATTCTTAGATTGCGTGCACGAAGAGATGGCGCTGATTCCGGCTGTTACCAGACTCACCTCCTCCGTAATTCGGATACTGGGCTGCAATCCCAGCCCCATGACGCTTCAGGGCACCAACACGTACTTGCTCGGCAGCGGGAGAAGGCGAATCTTGATCGACACTGGCGACGAAGACGTGCCCCAGTACATCGCTCACCTGGAAGATGTCCTGCAGCAGGAAAAGGCTGCCATCGACACCATCCTGCTGACGCACTGGCACCACGACCATGTCGGCGGCGTCAAGAGCATTCTGGGTACCAAATTGGCCGACAAGGATTGCCGGGTATTCAAGTTCGGGCGTACAGATGCCCCAGATGTGTGTCCCGAGATACCGACGGATATCAGACTCCATCCGTTAGCACACAATCAAGAGTTCACAACGGAGGGAGCGAATGTGAGGGTGGTTCACACTCCCGGGCACACCACCGACCATGTGGTGTTGGCAATGAACGAAGGCACACTCTTCAGCGGCGATTGCATCCTGGGCGAGGGCACCGCAGTCTTCGAAGACCTATTTGAGTACATGAAAAGCCTGGAGAAGATACTAAGCATCAAGCCGCAGCGTATCTTTCCAGGCCACGGCAATGTCATTGAGGAACCGATTGGCAAGATTGAGTACTACATTAACCATCGCAACCAGCGCGAGCAGCAAATCCTGCAGTTCTTCGCACAGCGGCCCAACGAACGCTTGCAGGCTATGGACGTCGTGAAGGTGGTCTACAAGGAGACACCCGAAAACCTGTGGCCCGCCGCTGCCTACAACGTGAACCACCACCTAAGCAAGTTGGAGAAAGAGGGAAAGCTACGGATCAGCAAATCGGCGGATGAACAGTTCTATGTCTACCAGCCAACCAGCGCCCTCTAAATCTTTTTATTTTCTTTTTTCGTTGAGCTTATATAATTATTTGTTTGTAAAAAATCGTTTTATAATTTTTATTTCCAAAAAAGTCAAACTGTGCAAGTATAAAGGTGCCTTTTTTACCTGTTATCACACTTAATGGTGTCATCTAATAACATCTTCCACAAGTCAAACTGTTCGTTATTCCGTATCATATGGATGGTAATCTTCTGGCGGATATTGCACGCCTCGAATTTAGTGCGGCTATTGGCCATCTCTCGCACATTTACCCGCCGGATGCCAAGACTTTCAGCCACGATGCCCGTGGTGAAGACATCTTCCAGCTTTAAGAATGCGGTACTCAGCGATTGGACATACAGAGCGTGAACAATGTCACCAGTGAGCAGGTAAGCGGGTCCGGTGGTGAAATAGGGAAAGGTAGTATTCCTATACTGAGAGTGCGATATGTAATATTTAGACGACCTGTTTCGGATGGGTTTCCAATTTTCAGCCCGTCTTCCGTATATCGATCTATTGTCTTTAAGCGTGTTCATGAGGGTCATCAACTTCGGCACATTAATAAACATATCGTCGTCCGTCTTGAGAATGTACTTAGCCTTCGGACAGTGAAGATCAGCCCATTCCAGCAAACAGATGGTCTTCAGAGTGAGATTGTTGTACGAGTCTATGAAGTGCCCCCTTATCAGATCCTGGTACATAAAACCCTCCTGATCGATGGCCGTGTTCAGCGTCTTGTTTTTGCTTCTTCCCAGGACGAAAGCCATGCCCACGTCCCTTCTGCTGCCGTAGTGCATCCAAGTCTGCCGTATGGCCATTCTGGCTGCCGAATGTCGAAGGGATGAGGTTATTAAAACCAACAACTTTGTGAATAACCCTTCGCGGGGACATCTCCTTTCAATATCAATCCCACTGTCCAGGTGACCAGGCTTGTAGATAGTTCTTACGAGCGGCATTCGGACGGGAACTTCGGTATCTATTGAGAACAATTGCTCTGATTTCCAAGCTAAAATATGCTTCGAGTCTAGCAACATTTCTGAAAGCACTTTCTGTTTTGGCCTGTCATCTGTGAAAGAACCGTATAAAGTGACCACTTCAAAATAATAATTTATATTTATAGTCGACTAATGAAATAGTGATGCTAGGGATTGGCTTAATCAAGTGTTCAGCAACAAGTTATACACGTTATATTATATATTTTATGTATAATTCTCACCCTGGAGCTTATCCTTGTCAATTCTTCTGTTTCTAATGAGCGCAATTGAATCCGCAACATTTATATTCTCATCAATAATTGTGGACATATCGTTGTGCCTGGCACTGCTGTTTCCTGAAACTTGAACGGCGATCCCACCGTTCAAATCTTCAGTAGTTTCCTGAAAGGATAGTAGCCGTATCGCTTGGTCCACTAACTGCTTTCCAGGACTCTTGGACACTACATCGGGCTTGGCTCTCGTAAAATAGTCGACTTTTTCAATTGTCGCTACCTTGGAAACGTACATGAAGACCGTAAAGCTGGAAAGGATTAGAATGACGATGCAGCGCAGCAGTCGGCCAGCCATGGCTATAAGTTAGTACTTATTTGCCGGGAATATGTCCGCTCTACAAGGTGGATTTGACACAAGCACCAAAAAGTCATGTTTACTAAGTTCGATTAATAAACAATAAAATAAATGCTTACTTGACACCTTACTTTTTGTTCTTATCATGTTTGTGAATTCTTTTTACTTGTCTTATTTGGGTGCTGGCTGAATTTATGCCATGGAATATATATGTCTATTGGGAATGGGACCTTATCCCGGTATGAATACTTATTTCTTGCCATTATCTACATATGTATGTATATCTACATATATATTTTCCGTTTTCCGGCAAACCACAAAATTTCTCAGAAACTCCTGCTCTGTTAAGGGCCCTATTCAGTCCACTGTTAATGAAGGCTCTGCTTATGTTAGTTAACATGGCCTGCTCGCGTTGCCAACCACCAGCAACTCTGCACTGTGTACGTCAGCTGTCAAAACGAATCACAATTTTTTCACGGCTTTTATTGTGCGGTGCATTATTATTGCATTTTCCCGAGTCCAAAGCGGTTGCATAGCATATGCGTGGATCGGTTGCGGTACTTAAAGGTGGCACGCATCCGGTGCAGTGAGTGTCAAGTGATCAGAAGCGAGTACAACCAGTGACCATGTCGTTTGTGGGAGGGGGCGGGTGCGGCGGCCAGGACGTGCACAAGTTTGTGGAGGCCCTGCAGGCGGATTTCAAGACCCTCTCGCTGGAGACCAAGAAGAAGTATCCTCAGATCAAGGAGGTGAGTCCTGGTGACGTGTGGTTCACGGCCGTGGTTGTCTAATTGCGGCACTTATCCGCCGACACACGAGTGTGTGTCACCCACCAACCCAGTTGGGTGGTGGTGGAAGGACGTCGGTGGGCGGGGGTGGTTTGCTCTGGTTCCACCTGTGCTTCCACTACGCAATTATGAAATTGATAGCCAGCGCATATGAAATTGTTTTTATGACATTTCCACCTGCACATTAACTCTCTAACGTTTCCAATTCCCAATCAGGCGTGCGAGGAGGCCATTTCCAAGCTCTGCACAGCTGGCAGCAGCCAGCAAAACTCGGTGTACTACACCGTCAACCAGATACTCTATCCGCTGGTGCAGGGATGTGAGACCAAGGACCTCAAGATCATCAAGGTAAGATCAGCCATTTCACTATATAGTAACCATATATAATTCCTATCGCATCTTTCCCAGTTTTGCTTAGGCATGATGCAGCGTCTCATCACCCAGCAGGTGGTGGACCAGAAAGGCGCCCTTTACATCACCAACGCATTGTGGACCCTAATGGAGAACAACATCGAGGAAGTGAAGGTGCTGCAAACGGTAACACTTTTGCTGACCACCAATACGGTGGTGCACGGCGACACATTGGCCAAGGCCTTAGTTCTGTGCTTTCGCCTACACTACGCCAAAAATCCCACAATTGTGAATACAGCCGGTGCCACCATCCGGCAACTGGTGTCCCTGGTGTTCGAGCGGGTGTACCTGGAGAAAGACTCGGTTTCCAGTCTTCAGCAGCAACAGGCCAGTGGTTTGCCAGCTGAGGGAGAGGGCGCAAATCAGGACGTGCAGACCTTTGCTTCGGATGCATTCCTGCTATTTCAGGATCTCGTGCAGCTGGTAAACGCGGATCAGCCTTACTGGCTGTTGGGCATGACCGAAATGACGCGCACCTTTGGTCTGGAGTTACTTGAGGCCGTGCTGACCAACTTCAGTGCCGTGTTTCACGAGGTATGTTTACAAATCGGCAGAGAAGTGTCAATTGTCTTTTGTCGATTGTCGATTGTCTTTTAATTTTCAATTACAAAAAAAGCATCTTTAACAACCTAATTAATAAATACAACAACACAATTATATAAATTTATATATTAATTGATTCCTTTTTTTAATTAGAGTAACGACTTTCGACTGCTACTTAAGGAACGAGTGTGTGCCTTGGTCATAAAGCTCTTCTCGCCAAACGTGAAGCATCGCCAGCTGCCTGCGCCCAGCAATGGAAACGCTCCTGTGCCGGCCGAGAAACCCTATTTTCCAATCAGCATGCGATTGTTGCGCCTCGTGGCTATACTTATACAAAAATACCATACCATACTGGTAACAGAGTGTGAGATCTTTTTGTCGCTAATTATCAAGTTTTTGGACCCGGATAAGCCAGCTTGGCAGCGAGCCCTGGCCCTTGAGGTTATCCACAAGCTGGTTACGCGCTCTTCACTGATTGCATTCTTTTGCAAGTCGTACGACCTAAAAAATCATGCCACCAACATTGTGCATGACATGATTGCCGCCATGGGTAGCTATATTCGATATTCCCTGATCAATGCGTCGGCCATGCTGAATGGCCAGCAGAATGGAGTCGCCAATTCGCTGACAACCTTGTCGGGAAGCAATCAATGTGGCTTCATGTTTCGAGGTGCTTACCTTCCCTTGGTAGCCACTTATGCACCAGGCGTCTCTAAAGCGGTTTAGTAAGTGGAAATATATGCTTATTTACTTAAAATATTGTTCACAATTTTTTTTTGCAGCTTGGAAATGTTGGATAAGATAGATGCATCGAATATTCCTGAAAGTTATGGCATCTCGGTGGGACATGCTATTCTATTGGATATGACACGATCGATTGGAGGCGTCATTCAGCGAACCCCAGAGCTTCATCCCAGCCATAATACGGCAGTGATCACAGAGGAGGAGCACAAGCCTCTGTGCCTCCAACTAGTGAATTCCAGCTGGTCTGCCCTTCTCAGCGCTTTTATTCCGTTGGTGGAGACGTCTATTGACGAAGCCACCACGGAGAACATCCTTAAGGCTATGCAAAACTATGCAGCTCTTTGCGGAATGCTGGAACAGCTACAGCCCCGAGACGCCTTTATTATGGCCATGTGCCGCGCCTCCTTTCCGCCCCACTATGCCATGTCCATATTTGCCAATACCACACAGTCGGATGGTGACTTAAGATGTGAGTTCCGAATTGCATTTACGCAAAGCAAAGCCTAACCAAACCTATCATTTACAGGTCACACGCGCAGCGGTAGTCAAGATCTAAGCAGCCAGTTCATAAATAGCTGCAGTGGCGATGCAGGAGACTTCCGACCCCAAATCGTAGCGGTGGGCACACCACTGCCATCTGCATCGCTGCCCCACAGCGTGATGCAGGCGCCGGTGATGCTGACTAACAAGAATCTTCAGTGCATGCGAGCTATTCTCTTCCTGGCGCACAACAATGGTGGTATCTTGGGCACCTCTTGGCACATTGTGCTGCAGACGCTGCAGCACCTAGTGTGGATCTTGGGGCTGAAACCTTCAACCGGAGGCAGTCTGCAGGCCATGCCAAAGCCAGCTATAGAGGCTAATGTGGGCATTCAAACGGTGATGGCTGATCTTCCAGTGCTGTCACAAATGCTTAGCCAGCTGTTTGAGTCCAGTCAATATCTGGACGATGTAGCGCTGCATCATTTGATCGATGCGTTGTGCAAGCTCTCCCACGAGGCCATGGAACTAGCTTACGCCAATCGGGAACCGTCGCTTTTTGCGGTAGCCAAACTGCTAGAGACTGGCCTAGTGAACATGCCTCGCATAAAGGTATTATGGAGACCACTCACCAATCACCTGCTGGAGGTGTGCCAACATCGCCACATTCGAATGCGGGAGTGGGGCGTGGAAGCCATTACCTACCTGGTTAAGTCTGCCCTTCAGTTCAAGCACAAAACGCCCCTCAAGGAAAACATGGTAAGATTAGTCCCCTTTTTTCGTTTACAATTATTGTAGAACGTCACTGAAAAGTGTTTTAAATAATTAATTCCACAAGAAAATATAAATGAAGCCCTTTCTCGTTTAGGAACTACAAACAATGCTGCTCAGTCCTCTCTCTGAGTTGTCTACTGTCCTGCATGCGGATGTTCGACAGCGACAGCTGGATTGCGTGCTTCAGATCCTAAACACTGCAGGGGAAATCCTCTCCTTTGGCTGGCCGGCCATTATTGAGATCATTGGTGCTGTAAACGAGCACCACGGAGAGCCGTTAATTCGCACAGCATTCCAATGCCTGCAGCTGGTTATCACAGATTTCCTGACCGTGATGCCATGGCGGTGTCTGCCCCTGTGCATCAGCACTGCTGCCAAGTTCGGCTCCCAGACCCAGGAATTGAACATTTCTCTAACGGCTATCGGTCTAATGGTAAGATATGTTATAAATCTTAGATAAACTATCGCAGGCATAATATTATTGAGTGACTTTAATCGTGTTATTTGATTGCAGTGGAATATTTCAGACTTTTTTAATCAAAACCAGGACAAGCTTATGTCCACTCAGCTGCAGGATGTGGCCATTCTGCCCGACTTCCCAGGCACAGTAAAGATGCCGCAGTTCGATAAGTTGTGGATGTGTTTGTACGCCAAGCTGGGCGAGCTGTGTGTGGATCTGCGTCCGGCGGTGCGTAAATCGGCCGGCCAGACGCTCTTCTCCACCATCTCCGCCCACGGCAGCCTGCTTAATCCGCCTACGTGGCAGGCGCTGGTCTGGCAGGTTCTCTTCCCGCTGCTGGACAACGTGCGTGCTCTGAGCAGCTCGGCCAGCAACGAGAAGGTGGACGCCAGTGGCAACATTCTTATCCATCACTCGCGCAACACCGCCCAGAAGCAGTGGGCAGAGACGCAGGTGCTGACTCTATCGGGCGTCTGCAGGGTGTTCAATACAAAACGGGAGCTGCTTCAGATGCTGGGTGATTTTGAGCGAGCCTGGTCCCTAATCCTAGAGTTCATCCAGAATGCTGCGTTGAGCAAAAATGGTGAAGTTTCACTTGCTGCCCTTAAGTCTCTGCAGGAGATCATGTACCACAACACAGCAGAGCGAACGGAGAAGGATCCTCAGATGGCGCAGGAGCAGGACGAGGAAATCTGGACCGTGAGTAGTCTAGAGATTAGGATGCGTTAGCTGCCTACCGAAGTCCTTGTCTTTTGTACATTTATACTAAATGGACTTTTGTCTTCCTTATTTTTGAGCAGATTGCCTGGAACATCTGGCTTAGCATTGGCATGGAGAGCACCAAAATGTCTACATCGACCTCAAC